AATCAGATTAACTGCAATAAATTCGATAAAGAATGCAGATTAACAGTTCTTCCTTCTTCTTCGACATTATTTCTGGTGTCATTGGATTTGAAGGTTGTATGTTTCATCCCTGAACGAAGGAACAAAGACAAGTAAATCAGGGTAGAACTTCAGTGAAAAGCAGAGGTATTTATATCATCAGCTTCACTTCATTTCCCTTAAAAAAAAAAATGGGGTGCAATCAGTTCCTGAAATTTTGACTGGGAAATTCTTGGCTGCTTTGAAAGCATTCTTAATTGGGTCTAGGACAACTTGCCACAGACCACTTGATGATGATGATAATAATAATAATAATAATAATAATAATAGTAATAATAGTAATAATAGTAATAATAGTAATAATAGTAGTAGTAGTAGTAGTAGTAGTAATAATATAATGTTGGAAGGGACCTTGGAGGTCATCTAGTCCAATCCCCTGCTCAAGCAGGAAACCCTATACCAGGGGTAGGCAATCTTGGCTCTTTTATGACTCGTGGACTTCAACTCCCAGAATTCCTGAGCTAGCCATGCTGAGGGGGAAGGGAGAGTTTCCAAGCTGAGCCATGCTGGCTCAGGAATTCTGGGAGTTGAAGTCCACGAGACATAAAAGAGCCAAGGTTGCCTACCCCTGCCCTGTACCATTTCAGACAAATGGCCGTCCAGTCTCTTCTTAAAAACTTCCAGCGTTGGAGCATTCACAGCAGGATAACTCGCTGTGGGACAAGAGTTACGCTAATATCAAGAAATGGTGGAATAGAATAATTAAAGAAAGGATGCCAAAAGAAGAACAAAATGAAATGTGAATTACAAAAATAATTCTTAATTATTTTAAATAATTAAATAGAATTGTCGCAATGCCCCATGGCAAACTGTCTGTAGTGAGTTGACTAGGGCAAATTGGCCCATGAAGAATTGGTCGCGGCTATTTGGCTGTGGTGAATTGCCCGTGGCAAGTTGTCCCATTCCGTTCTTAATCATCTTTATATTTGTGTGTACACACAACTGCTTTGCTTTGCTTTGCTGGCAGTCCCAGCATATGTCATGGTCTGTGTGTGTGCACACTCACCCATCAACAAGCAAGACATGGCTTGGAAACAGTTGGGCCGCTAAGACTTCCAAATGACATATCTACTTTCCTGCTTCAAGAAGTATTTTACTCTACTCAAGGCGTTTTGTAAAGCATCCCTTTCAAATATTTTGCCCAGCACTGCTTGCCATCGTCATCCGATCTTCGTTCCCAAACCACAACCAAGGCAGGACCAGAATGCTAGCAAAACCCACAAAATGTCGCATCTGGAGGTTGTGCACGGAAGCCCTTTGCTGCCTTGTGTTCTATTTCAGCTTGTAACGTTAGCTGGGGAGCAGGGTACAAATGCAAGGAATTACTTTTTGCCCACTGTGTATCAATCCCACCTGGGGAAAACGAATCAATGGGTGCTCTCAGTGATCGCTCCACAGCAACTTTCCCTTGAAGGTCTACTACATTTAATAATAATAATAATAATAATAATAATAATAATAATAATAATAATAAAAGTTGGAAGGGACCTTGGAGGTCATCTAGTCCAACCCCCTGCTCAGGCAGGAAACCCTATACCATTTCGGACAAATGGCTGTCCAGTCTCTTCTTTAAAACTTCCAGAGTTGGAGCATTCCCCGCTTCTGGAGGCAGGTTGTTCCACTGGTTAATTGTTCTAACGGTCAGGAAGTTTCTCCTTAGTTCTAGGTTGCTTCTCTCCTTGATTAGTTTCCATCCATTGCTTCTTGTCCTGCCTTCAGGCGCTTTGGAGACTAGTCTGACTCCCTCTTTTTTGTGGCAGCCCCTGAGATACTGGAACACTGCTATCATGTCCCCCCTCGTCCTTCTCCTCATTAAACTAGATATACCCAATTCCAGAAACCGTTCCTTATATGTTTTAGCCTCCAGTCCCCTAATCATCTTTGTTGCTCTTCTCTGTATTCTTTCTAGAGTCTCAACATCTTTTTTACATTGTGGTGACCAAAATTGGATGCAGTATTCCAAGTGTGGCCTTACCAAGGCATTGTAAAGTGGTATTAATACTTCACGTGATCTTGATTCTGTCCTGTGTTGGCTTTTTTGGCTTAAAATTTTTGGTTAAATTGGAATATTGATGAGAAACTAAAAAATTAATAGGATATGGATTATTTATGAAGACTGAATGTAATTAAGATACGTATAGGCTAAAATTTATTGATAAATATAATAATGATGTTTTTATTGAGTTGATATAATAAGAACTGTACTATCTTGAATACGAGACAATAAGTGTTAAGGGAAAAAGAGAAGAAATATTTGATGTTGCAACTTGAGATTTGTACTAAAGATTTTGTTATCAAACTATTGATTAACCCAGTCAACCATGTTGCTTTTCAAATACCTAAATGTAAAATTGGAAAATTAATAAAATATTATTTTTTAAAAAAAAGCTTCATTGCCTTCTACATCAAATTTGCACGCAAAACATGGCCAAATAAATCGGAGGTAGTCTTATGATTTTAGCTTCTCACGACACGTCCGGTTTTATACCCATTTCCAATAGTAACTACTAGTAGTAATTCAGCTAATAGCTCATTAGCAGGCCAAGCAAAGCAGAAATGAAGTATGAAAATGAAGTAACATTTGATATTCTTAATGGTGTGAATGCAAAACGCAATTTTAGTTTAAAAACATTTAGTCATTTTGATTTACTACTTTCGCTTTGAAGTCAGCAGTTGCTTGTGTTCTCTCCCAATGTCTTTCTGAAATGATCCTTCTAAACGACATTTCTACACAGATCTTGCAGAATGGGGATCGAATTCCCCATCAAATTGGATAGATGAGTTCTCTACATTTCTCATTGGAAAGCAGATGTTCTCTGTCAATTTCTCAATTTCTTTTCTTGTAGTAGTGAAAGTGGCAGCTCTCCTAAAAACGCCCTTGTGAACATTTTTACCCCAGGTCTTCCTTGGGGTGGAACAAAGTGTGGGAAGCCAGAGAGATTGCTGACTGAGCAGCTCTTGGTATTCTCCTAGCTTTGTTGTTGTTGTTGTTGTTTGCAGGTGTTTCTTTTTTTTTTTAATTTATTTTTTATTTTTCCAAACTCTCCCCCATACATATACTGTGATATTTATCAGATATTAACATACATTCTTTTTACATTCTTATATATAAGATACTTTTAATGAAATAAATACATACACATGACTTTTGGTGTTGCTCGCCCATTTCCCCTTTCACTGCATCCCCACTCCTTTTTCTCTACCTTCTTTCTCCCTTCCTTCTCTTTCTTCCCTACTTCCCTCTTCTTCCTCTCCTCTCCTCTTCTCTTTCACCACTCTCTCCTCCAACCTTCCTACTTCCTTCTCCCCTCCTTTACTCTTTTCTCTCTCCTCTCCTTTCTTCCCTCTCATCCCTCTTCAGATACAATTCAGGGGTAATGTCCGAGCAACTCCTCTCTCCAAATTTCCCTATCTGTATTATATTATATTTTGCAGGTGTTTCATTACCAAACCAGGTAACATCATCAGTGCTAGAAGAGAGCAGTCTTCTTAAAATATCTTATTCTTTCTTGGGCCTAAAGCAAACCCACCTTACCATTTGTCCATTGGTTAGAAAAATGCAAGTGTTAGCAATCTGCATCGCATTTGCTTCCCAAGCGGGAAAAATCCACCTGAGGGAGCTGAAATCAGTTACCATTAGAGCATCTTTACAAACCGAACAGGCCATAACACTCCAATTTCATGCCATGGTCCAGGGGCAGCAGTTGAAGTAAATTTGAACTATTTCCCCCCAATTCTGCCTGTTGACAGCCCAGAGGAAAATGAAGGAGAGCCGGGCAACTTAAAATGACCTGTCTGAGCTTTAACAGCCACATTCTAGATGTGTTGGGATTACAACTTCCTGAATTCCTAGCCCAGGGGTAGGCAACCTTGGCTCTTTTATGACTCGTGGACTTCAACTCCCAGAATTCCTGAGCCAGCGTGGCTGGCTCAGGAATTCTGGGAGTTGAAGTCCACGAGTCATAAAAGAGCCAAGGTTGCCTACCCCTGTGACCTAGCCTTATCCCAAAATTTGTCAAGGTAGAATGTGAAGCTGCAATCCAGGCAGGTCCTAATGTTTCTTCTCTCTGGCTCTTTCTATATTCTCTCAGCCTCCCCATGCCTCCTGAAGATACCGGCCTACCTTACAGGGCCGTTGTGTCAAACGGCCGGATCGTTTGAACTAAGGGCACGGAAAACCAGAAAACAGTTTTGGGTTCCTAGTAAGCAGCGCCGCCTTCCGTTGCCTCGCCGCGCCAAGAACCTCGCCCCGAGCAGCTCACTCGAGGGTCCGAACCCCCAAAACTCCTTCCTCTTGGGGTAAAATCCGGACGGGGGGACGGACGAACAGATGTTGCCCCCCAGATCTTTCCCCAGCGCAACTGCACCGGTTGGACCGTCCAGCAGCAGCTGGGAGCCCGCAGCAACTCCGGGTGGGTCGAAACCAAAGGCTGCCTGCCTGCCTGCCCGCTCTTCTCCCACCGCTCTTCTCCGCCCGCCGCCACCGATCCAGCAGTCCGGGGCTGCGGATCGCCTTGGCATCGCGGGCGGGCTTGGAGGGTGGCGCAACACCCCCCCCCCTTCTTCTTCTCCTCNGCTGCTGCTGCGCGCGCGCGCTCCTCCTCCGCCGCCGCCCGTGGCGCTCGCGCCAGCTTCTGCCCTCGGCCCGCCGGCAAATACCGCAGGCAGCTTGAGAGCCTCGCTCTGCCCTCGCTCACCCCCCACCGCCCACCCCCGCCAGCCGAGCTCCCGCCCTCCCCGCAACACCCCAGCCGCCCACCACCCCACCCCACCCGCGGCCGTGGCAGCGGCGGGGTTCGGCTGCGCTCGCTCGGCTCCCGCTCCCTCCGCGCGCTCCGGGGTTGGACGGGCGGCTGAGTAGCGAGTCCTCCTCCTCCTCCTCTTCCTCCTCCTCCTCCTCCGGCACCCCAAGGCGGGACGGCATGGCGGGCTCTCCGCGCGCGCTGCTCTGGTGGTGCCTCTGGCTCAGCTGCAGCCTGGTGGCCGAAGGGTCCGGGGAGCGCCCGGGCGGGCTCGGCCAAAGGAGCGTCGGAGGAGGGCGAGGCGTCGGCGGGCGCGGGAGCCGGGCGGCCGAAGCGGAGGCGGAGGTGGAGCAGCCCGCCCCGCCGGCGGCGGTCTCGGCCGGAGACAAGGTGTCGGAACACATGCTGCGTCTCTACGTCCGCTACAGCGGCCGGGCTCAGGACTCCGAGGCGCCCGGAACGTCCCGGCTGCTTCATCTCCAAGAAGGCAACACGGTGCGAAGCTTCCGAGCGCTGCCGCCAGGTGAGTCCGAGGGCGCCGCGCGAGGGGAGCGCGGAAAGCGGCGCGGGGGACGGGCGGGCGGACGCTTCCCTCAGGACGGCGGGGCCCGTGTGGCGTCCAGTGAGCGGGGTCGCGCGGAGAGGTTGCGTCGAGGGTGGGCGCGAAGGGGGGGGGAGAGAGAGAGTGGGTGCGTGCGAGGCGCGTGCGGCTGCCCCTTCGTGACAGGTGCGGCTCTCGCGGGGATTCGTTTCCCCGGCGAGGCGCGCGACCGGACGAGAGTTTTTTTTTTGGTGGGGGGGGCGCGACTGTCGGCGCCAGAGCGCGTGAGCTGCGAGCCGATTGCGCAGCCACCAGTTGCAGGTGTGTACAGGTAGTCCTTGACTTACGACCACATTGGAGCCCCAAAAGTGAGGTGGCTAAGTGAGCGATTTGTTTTGACCCCATTTTACAACCTTTCTTGCCACCGTTGTTAAATGAAATCGCTGCGGGGGTTAAATCGGTAACGAGGTTGTTAAGTGAATCTGGTTTCCCCCGGCCCCTGTTTCTTAGAAGCTCTCAAAAGGGGATCACGTGATTCTCCGGGACGCTGCAACAGTCATAAATACAAGCCAGTTGCCAAGCGTCTGAATTTTAATCACGTGACCGTGGGGATGGTACAATGATCGTTAAGTGTGAAAAACGGTCATAAGTCACTTTTTTCAGTGCCGTTGTAACTTCGAACGGTCACTAAGTGAACTGTTGTAAGTTGAGGACTAACTGTAATTAGCAGGGAGGCAGTTGCACGTTCTGGATGATGGCTTAAAATTGGTGCGCTACTCGGAGGAAGAGTGATCATTGCCTGTGCTGGAGGGCGAGTATCCAGCCCTGGACCTCCGCATATGTGGGTCTCTGAGCCCTGGAGCAAGCGCCCCGTAGCTCTTGCCTGCTAAATCAAACCTATGTTTTGAGGGAGTTGGTATACAGGTAGTCCTCGACCTACAACAGTTCATTTAGTGACCGTTCAAAGTTACAAGGACACTGAGAAATGTGACTTATGGCCGTTTTTCATAGCTACGACCTTGGCAGCATCCCCATGAGCATGTAGACAAAATTTAGATGCTTGGCGACAGGTTCATATTTATGACCGTTGCCGTGTCCCAAGGTCACGTGATTCCTTTTGGCCACCTTCTGACGAGCAAAGTCAGTGGGGAAGCCAGATTCACTGAACAACCGGGTTACTAACTCGGCAGTGATGCACTTAACAACAGTCGTAGGAAAGGTTGTAAAATGGGGCAAAGCGCACTTAGCAAATGTCGCGGTGAACTACAGAAATGTTGGGCTCAATTGTGGCTGTAAGTCTGTGGTGAACTGTGGGCACATTTCCAACTCAAAGAAAGGAACGGGGGGGGGCACGTGGGGGTCCTTTTTCTTCTGGTGGAATCTTCCATACAAGAAGGGCGAGACGCTGGCTCTAGTCCATATTAAAACAGAAGTTGAAACAAACTCATCCTGGGTCAGCTTTAGGGATTAGAACTGTGTTCTGGCCAGGTGATCGGGAGCAAACGATAGAGGAGGTTGTTGTGTAAACAGGGTTTGTTTGCACAAATACTTGGGAGTTTCCATATCTTTGAAAAAAGACTTCTCGGAGTTGTCAGTCTTGGGAACTCAGGGAAGACCTGCTAAATGGTTAAAAATAAGAAATGGAGGTAGGAAAGACAGTGAATGTCCAACTGAGTACACCTTTTTTGTTTAAATTAAAAGCGAAGTATAGCCATGGATTTCAATTTATTTTTTAAAAATGGAACTTCACCCATTATTAAGGACTTCTTCCAGGCGTTCAATCTATTTTTCTCAGGTATGAATTAGCTCCTGAGAAATTATTACGCGCTAGAAACTTTGCAGCTGCTAATAAAATTGCCTTGCTGAAGACACTTAAGAGGCTTTGAATGAAAGTTCATTGAAATATCGACATCTGCGGATCGCTTTTGCTTCTTGCTCCACTGAACTCTAGAGGGATTTGGTGAATAATTTGGCAGCTGGACCAAGTCCAGAGTCTGCACTGTTCAGATATTTTCCCTGCCTTATAACACCTCCCCCCACCAAAAATTTCCTACCTGCTTAATATTGAGAAAGCTATTCTTGAACATGTATTTGAAATCTACAAGATAGTAGCCAAGTCCCAATCAATCAGAATAGAGGTGGAAGGGACCTGCTCAAGCAGGAGACTATACCAGGGGTCCCCAACCCCCGGTCTGTGGACCGGTACTGGGCCACAGCATGCCAGCAAGCGGTCCACACAAACAGCAAAGCCCCATCTGTGGGATGCAGGCAGCACACAAAACCACGCACCCTCCGGTCCATGGGAAAAAAATCTCTCCACGGAACCAGTCCCTGGTGCCCAAAAGATTGGGGACCTCTGCCCTATACCATCTCAGACAAGTGGCTGTCCAGTCTGTTCTTAAAAATCTCCAGTGATGGAGCACCCACAACGTCTGAAGGCAAGCTGTTCCACTGGTTAATTGTTCTCTTCTCTTTAATTCTTCTCTTCTTTTTTTTTAATAAAAGTTTTATTGGTTTTTTCCATTTTTTTATACAAAAGCTTAGGACACAACGTGGTGGTCAGAGTGTCAAATCATTCAAAAACAAAGTCATATACATATAGCTCAAATTAATTATAAACAATTTGTTCTCTGTAAGGAATAATATTACTTATTAAAATTAAAATTAATGCAATTTTAGATAAAGTTCAATCAAACAAAGATCCTCAGTCACCTTGCAATTATGATAATCTATATCCTGTTTTAAGCTTTACTAATTGCAATTGTCTTATTCCAGTTACATTTCAATAGACATATAGTTGGGATTTCAGGTATCCTTAATAATAGATCGTTCATCTTTAATTCTTCTCTTAATTCTTAGTTAATTCGTCTCTAAAATTGCCTCTTAACAGCATTATTTAATGTTTTAATTGATTTATATATTCCTATAAAGTATTAGGTGCCTTATAATTAGAAGCTGTTGGAGTAATATAAAAATGTAAAGTATTTTTATGGGGTTGAAACTCTACTCAAATAACAAGTAAGTATAAATAAGAAAAAAAATCAATAAAAGTTCCACTTTGCACCTATTAAGCCCTTTTAATCTAAGGGTTCAGCTTTCTAAACCAATCCTGCATATATTTACTTGGAAGTAAAATCAAGGATGCAAGCTACGTAGTTGAGTCTGCTTAGCTCAGCATTTTAGTCAGAAGTAATCAGTTGGCTTATTAATATGATTAAACACACCATAATACCACAGGAGCAGATATAGTTATCACCAGTGGCTTTACTTCATGTGAAGCAAGAATTATATTGCTTCTGAGCCTGATAATTTATGTTCTTTCTGAATAAGTCTTTGTCCATTTCATTAATCAGTCCAGTATGCAGAGGTGAAAGTAATTTGTTCCTCTTTATACTCTCTATGCATAAATTCTATGCAGCTCAGAATTCTGTAGGCCCTTATCAATTCCATAAACCAAATTTAGTGTAGTGGTTATGATGCTTGCCTGGAAACCAGGAGACTGTTGAGTTCTACCTTAGGCATGAAAGCCAGCTGGATGACTTTGGACCAGTTACTCCAGGCATGTCAAACCCACAACGTCACGTGACATCGCACGACATATCGCAACTTTTTCCTCATTGCCGGCAATGGAGTGGGCACGGTTTCGGCATGACGCATGCGGCCCGTGGGCCGACAGTTTGACATGCCTGAGTTACTCTCTCTCAGCTCAACTGACCTCACAGCGTTGTTGTCATGGGGGGAAAAAGGTGGAAGAATGAATATTATATATATCCATCACCTTGACTTATTTATAAAAAACAATAAAGGCAGAATAAAAATCTAAAAAAAACCCTGCAGCCTTTTTTTTATTCTAGAGATTTCTGAGGAACTCAAAATCTTGCTTATGTGAAAATCAGTGTCATTAGTTATTCAATCTCTGATGAATATCCAGTAAGTTTTTTTTCTGCAATCTTAATTACAAAATTGCAATGAGACTCAGTAATATTTCGTACTCTTATATTAGCATATTTACTGAGCCTACAAGTCAGTTTTATGTGCATCTGTTGCTCATGTAAAGAAATAAATGCAGTAGGCTACTGTATATGTAGTTAACCATAAGTTATTTTCAGCACGCTTCTAAAAACATATAGCTCTGTTTGGAATAATTGTAAGTTTGATGTGGTCTGGAAAAATTCTACTGCAAACTTTACAGGGGATTTGGCTGTCCCCTAGATAAACTACTGAAAATATTACTTTTTTTTACACAATGTATTTCGAGACCAAGGCATTCTTATACAGCTATTTCTTAACAAAAAGTATCTAGGCATGAATTTGCATGGAATACTGAAAATGTTGACATCTCAGAATTATTGGCTCTCCAGTTAACACTGAAGTGTTTAGTGTTCTGCTCTATATTAATTAGTAATCTTCTAGTGTTGATCCGCAAACCAAGTAATTCTGATGTCTTTTAGACCAATTTTTTTTTTAAAAAAAAATCAGTTCTGTTTGTTTCATCAGGAGGAAATGAATCCTCATCAATTCTAGATCTGATCTGAGGAGAGGGAAATTGGAGACTAGCATGCTTTTCTGTCTAGGCCAGAGATGGGCAATTAATTTTCCCAAAGAAAAAATGTAACAAACTGGGACTGTTGGAGGGCAGAACCAGTAAGGCTGTGAAGATGCAGAGGCATGCACCAATTTACATATGTAAATTGGGGAAGAAATAGCAGCTTCAAAATAAAAGAAGTGCAGTTGTGTTGTGTGCCTGGCATACACATATTTACATTTGATTTCAAATTTCCGATTGACCTCAAAGGGCCAGATATGGGCAGGGGCTATAAAATGCCCGGGTCTTGCCTAGCTATATTCCTAGCACATCACCAGAACATTGTATTCTCCCACCACCAAAACTGAATCTGGCATGTTGGTTTAGCTGGCAATTGAATAGATAACCCAACAACATACTGTATCTCTCCTGTGTGGAAATCTGAAATAGCCTATAA